AAGTGGAACAAACAGACATATCTGCAATCTAAAATAGCAAAAGAAAAAAAAAAATGGTGCAATGCTAGAATAACTTCGGGAGATGCTGTTCTACCAAAATGAAAGTAAATCTACGTGTCAACTTTCACTGCAATGGAAAGAAGATTTTAAGAAAATTATGTTTCAATGAAATTTTTTAAAATGAAAAGCACGAACTAAGAAAGCCTTAATTTTTTTTCATTTTATTTGCTATTTTGACATTACTTCAAATATTTCATTTTTTTAAAACAATATTCAGAAAATTTATAAACAAGCTGAGGCCCACTCAAACAAAGCGTAAATCTCCAGGATTTTGCAACTAGTTTAAGATAAATTAATATAGGCCTTAATGGGTTGAAGTAATTGGGCCATCTATAGCCCATCATTGCTGATACGGGCTAACTGATCTGACCTTCTATAACAGGTCCATTCACAATTGCCCGATTGATTAGAAACAGGCCGGTTTAGTATTTCCTGCAAATTAAAATTACCGCTAACTAATACGTATAAAATGGAATAGGAAACTAATAATGAAATTTGTCATGATGTATGATAGATACTGAATGAAGTGCACTCACACTTAGGTATTTTAAAAGAGAAAAAAACTATGTATTTATCTGACGCACATACTGGTTGAGAGTGTAATTTTTCACCGTGAGATTAAATGTTCGAATATCGCATATTGTCTATCGGGCTAATGTTCCTCGAAAGAAGAAAAAAAAAAAGATACTATTTATAGTTTTTTACTGTAATAGTTTATTGAGCTTTGTCATTTGGGCATTCGACAACACGATACACATGATTATTTATTAGGTAGAATTTAAGCTAATTTGAGTTCACTCAAGCCAGCCTTTACTTAGCCTTGAATTTAACTAATTAATTGAGTTCAAACATACTTATGAGCTAGCATTTATTATGTAATAGAAAAAAAAAATTTTGATTCAAGTTGTTAATATAATGTAATAGAAATGTGTATCTGTATTCGTCGCTGGTGGTCTTCCCATCTATGCATGTCGGCGGCTCGGCCCCTTTCTCTCTAATGGTTCTTTTAATTTATTTAGCCTAGGTCTACACTTCCTGTTAAGTAAATAAATTTTCATGTTATTTTACCTGTTTACCCTTCTAGGGTTTATTTAAATGTAAAGCATTTAATTAGCAAGTAAGGTGGAATAATAAGAATTCTAATCTTTCTTCTGCTACGTGTTCCTTTGTTATCTCCTTGCCTGAAGATTTTTGTGTTTTTGCATGGTATCAAAGATCCTTTCGGTCCTCCTCTACCACCCCTTTTCTCTTTTATGTTTCTCTTGTTCTCTGTTGTATCCTTTTGCTCTTTGGTTCTTGCTAGATAATTCCTCCACAACTTTCGTCACAACAATGTAACAAGAAGCAAATTCTCTCCTCCGAATTCAAGCGACCACCATTCCAACTTCTTTAAATTTATTGCCACTCATATATGAAAACAACCCAATATGGAAGTTAAAAATTAACAAACTATTTATGACAAAAGGTTTTGATACCTTCTTAGATCTCATCACTACCCTCCCTTCCCGACTTGGTCACAAAGAAGTCGACAATCAGGAAGAAACTGCATAATACAATATGCAACAACTCGTAGATCAGAATCCTGCAGTGGCCATTCTTTCCACTATTTCTCCATCCATCACATCATATGCTCTTCATCTCAATAATATTTCTTAAGTTTGGTGCTCTCTCGAGAAAAGATTTCATGCAACAAATTGTTCTTGTTTCATTCAACTCATGAATGAGCTACATCATATCTCAATGGATAACAACACCATGCACCAATATCTTATCACAATCAAAACTATGGTGGATAATATAGTCGTTGCAGGCTCCAAAATCGATCAAAAAGGCATCATTCTCTATATTCTGAATGGCCTCCCTCCTTGCTGCCAAGGCTTCAAATCGGTCATTCGTGCTCAACTTCACCTTAATTGAGCTTGAAGCATTTTATTCCCTTTTTTTTTAGAGAAGAAAGCTATCCCGCTAATGATGCCATGGGATTTACCCAACACAATTTTTTTTACCTCAAGAATTGTGTCTTGCAATATAAAAGAAACTCTAACAGATCAACTTCTCAATACAAGCAACTGACCACCCAAAATTTTAGTAAACAAAAACAACTATTCAATGTCAAATCTATTTTAAGAAAGGTCATACTTTCTGCCACCTATTGAGATCGTGCAAACTTACAGTATAAACCTATGGTTCCAGCTCCAAATAAAACACTTCACACCAATATTCAACCCCCTTCACAAGAGTAGATTTTAGACACCGGTGCCACGACTCACATCACTCCTCACATTGGAAATGTGCAACAAACAACATCCTACCAAGGTATCGACAAAGCGATAGTTGGCTATGGGCAAGTTGCAGACATCTTAGAAACTATTAAGCGCATTCTACCCACTCTGGATAGTAAGTTACTCTTTTCTCCTCTTTTAACTGCACCAAATATTTTCTCATGATTTAGTATCTGTAAATAAACTCAATCGTGATTACAATTGTCTGGCCACTTTCACTCTTAACCACTTCTATGTACAAGATCTCAAAACCAAGAAACACTTCTGACTAGTTATGCTAGTCAAGGCCTTTACCTTACTACTGCTTTACATCACTCGATTATTACTTCAAATACTTGGCATCATTTGCTAAGGCATCCTCATCGGAGGATCATCAATGTTATTTCAAAACAAAACCCCCAACTTCAGATTTCACAAAAAAAATATTCAACATGTCAAAACTTTTTGCAAAATAAGAGTCACAAACTACCTTTTACTTATGCTATTACTTCTTATTATTTACTTGATATGATACACTCTAATGTATGGGGTCCATTTTTGCATTCTTCTGTGATGACTATATTTACTATGTTACGTTTGCTGATGCTTGCTCACGTTTTTATTGGTGCATTCCTATGTAACATAAATATGAAGTTAAGTCATCATTTAATTCACTTGCATAAATACATACAAACTCACTACTATAAACCCATAAAAACCATAGGCTCTAGCAGAAGAGCCGAGTATCGTTCCCATCAACTTTTAGAATATCTACAAAGCTATGGCATTTTTACATCTATTTAGTTGTATGTACTCGACCGAACAAAATAGACTAGCCGAATGTAAAAACCGACGTATTGTAAAAACCGCATGGACTCTACTGAACACTTCTCTTCTTCCATCACAAATCAAGTTTCGGAATCCCTTATCAGAATTGGCTTTAATCAATCCAATATAGATAAGTTAGTCACACATTATTGTTGGTCCTTCAAGTCAGCAATAATTCTCACCAAATATTTTTACTCTCACAATTCAATCTCTAGGAATTTATACCGTGCAACTTTTAAAACATACATATATTCATAAAAAAAACAAATCAAATTATATATATGTTATCATTAAATAGAATGAGACTTATACATAATTGGCCTTAAATAAATTATACTAATGAATTTATTTCAATTGGATCGAGCTCTATAATAATAATAATAATAATATTATTATTATTATTATTATAGAGCTCGATCCAATTGAAATAAATTCATTAGTATAATTTATTTAAGGCCAATTATGTATAAAAAAATCAATTAAAATTTCACACTCTTTAAAACTTGAATGATACCATTATAAATAAAAATATTCAAATATTTAATACAGAGGGCTATTTAGATACATATCACATAATTTTTTATGTGTATATATATATATATATATATAACACTTAAACTTTAATGTTCATTTATATAATATTTTAATGTCAAAGTTATATAAAAATATAAGAATGGAAATATGAATTTTTATTTTTGAGAAAATTAATATTAGTGGCACTTTTGATCTTAAATTAGAAATTTATGAATTATAAAGTAAATACTAAAAATTAATTATTAGATAGATTGATCCATACAAATTATTTGATATTTATTTTATTCTCCTAATTTTAAAAATCAGATTTGTTCATCTAATATCAATGCTTTTATTTTTTGGGTTTTTACATATCAATCAAAAAAAAAATAATAATAATAATACATTTTGATCATCACGACTAACTCATTTATCGTCTCATCATTATCATTAAACATATTAAACTCTTGCAATTTAATATTACATTTCTTCCATTTGGTTCTTCCAATTTAAACCAACTTTTGTTTTTTGTGGTTGGGATATATGTTGGGTTGTGCCAACGGATTTGGCTCTATTGATCCACAGATTAGTCGAATCGGATGGAATTGAAATCCAAAATTTTAAACATAAAGCTAATTAAGCTTTTGTTAAAAAAAATTAATTCAAACCAATTATAAATATAATTAAGTTTGAAAGAAAGTGAAATGTAGCATTTGGTTCTATTTCAAGCCAAAATAATTAAAATTTAAGGCTTTATTTCAAAATTGAAAATTTATTTCTCCTCTTTATTTCCTTTAAGTTTTTTTTTTTTTAAATTAAAAACTGCAAACTAAATCAAAATAAATATTCATATGCTCAATTTATTTTTTTAGAAATAAATTTGATTTCTTTTTCCAAATATAATTCCTTTTTTTATTTTCTTTAATTTAATGAATATTAAAATTGAATAAAAAAAATTATATATGAGTTAATTTAATTGCAAATATATGAATGTTTCACATGAATGGCCCTACACTTACAATCACTCATGATTGAGTGAAGTGTAAACTATCAACTAATAAATTAAGATATCTTAAATAATTTAATCTATTTACAAATCATTCATTCCCTTTAATCCATTTTTCAAATGGTCGCTCAAATATCAAAATTTACGGTAAAACTCCGACTCGTATTTCTCATTTTTATCAAATTCTCAATAGTTTGATCGTGACATGGGTAAATACATCAATTTGTTAGTACAAAAAAATCAACTTGATGATTAGCTTATAAATATTAGTATTTTCAGTGATCCATATGTAAGTTTCGCATAGTTTAAATGAAATTAAAAGCATTTGGGCGGATAAATCCCAACTCACAGGCTGGACTATAACTGAGTCAACTCATATCCAATTCGAAATTTAGGCCATTTGGATAGGATCTGATTCCAGTTTCTTCAACCAAATAATCTCCTGGTGTAATCTTCCTTTGGTCTGGAGTTTGCTCTCCTTCAAGAACCCAAAGAAAGCTCTTCTATTGGCGCCTGGGCTGTTTCAAGATCGCAACGCTTCGCGTTTTGTAGGTATTTTCCTGCGTTCACGCTTCCTGTGATAGTCTTTTTTGGTTTGGAAATCGGTTCTAATTCTTTGTTTCACTCTTTTTATTTGTGCGGGCCTGTGATTTGTGGTATGCCCTGCAAGATTTCGATTTTGGTGATTTTTTGAGGTGTTTGAATTACTTTTCGTTTAGTGCGGTGCACTCGGAGGTATATGATTGTTTGGGATTAGGGTTTGTGAATTTTGTTGATTTTTTTGCGTTTGGATTTCTCGGCGTGGAGTTTTTGGGCGAGTTTTGATCATTTTCTTGACGTTGGATTTCTTGGTATGGAGTTTTAGGGCAATGGCTACAGCCATTAGTTGAGGCTTGTTTTTCGGGTTAGGGATTCGATAAACTGTTGTTCTTTGGGGAAAAGATTGCTGTTTTCGTTTCTTGGTGCTAATTCGAGAATTGGAATAGGTGCGCTTCGGAACTGAAGCGATATAGCGGAAGAACAGTTCTGCGTCTACTTCAGCAGCAGCGATGAATTCAAGTCCCACTTCTAATAAAAATGCTGCCTTGTCTATGGACTCAAACCCAAATGCGAAGAGGAGAGCAGTGGTCGTTGTGGAGAGGACTTCGAAAACTAGCGTGCTTCCCGACGGAGGAGTGCATGGTGCCAATAACGATGGTGCAGTTTACAACGGGAAGGATCTAAGCCACACGTTGTGGGGAGAAACTGCGCTTGATAGGCCAAGAAATTTGTCACGGTTGAAGAAAGGAGTTCTTGCAGCCTCAGTTCCTTCAAAGCACAGGAGATCTGCACACAGGCAGGCAAAACCTCTTTGGCAAACTATTCTTAGCACTCTCACTAAGAACTTGCTGCTTCTTGCTGCTCTGCTGTATATTGGCCAAGTAATTTGGCGATGGACCGCTGGGGCTAAGTATCCTTTATCCGCCTTTGATTTTGATAACCGAATCTCAGAAGTGGAATCATCTTTAAAGAAAACGGCAAAAATGTTGCAAGTTCAGTTGGATGTTGTTGACAAGAAGATAGGGAGTGAGATTGGTATTGTGACAAGGGAACTTGCGAAACAAATTGAAGAAAAGGGAGCACTTTTTGAGAAGGAACTGAATAATCTTGAAGCTAAAACTGATGATTTGGTCAACTCTATTAGTGAGTTGAAAGATGCAGGCTTTCTATCGAAGGAAGAATTTGAGAAATTTTTGACTGAGTTGAAGACTGGAAGTCTAGTTGATGCTAATAAAGATGCCTATCTAGATCATATTAGGCAACTAGCTAAGGTTGTTGTTGAGAAAGAGATTGAAAAACATGCTGCAGATGGCCTTGGTAGGGTGGATTATGCTTTAGCTTCTGGTGGAGCCAAGGTGGTTAAGCATTCGGAACCCTATGTTATTGTAAAGGCCAACAGTTGGCTTGCTGTTGCTAAACCTAAAGGTGGCATTCATTCCAGCGCACAGAAAATGTTAGAGCCGAGTTTTGGTGAGCCAGGCCAGTGTTTCCCCTTGCAAGGAAACAGTGGTTTTGTTGAGATCAGGTTAAGAACGGGGATAGTTCCTGATGCTGTCACTTTAGAGCACGTCTCAGAGGTGAGTTTTTTTTTAGTTAAAGTATTTTACTTTCTAATTTATAATTCCTCTTGTTTTGCAAATTTATTGTTTGAATACATTGTTGTTTTATGGGGTTTATGCAAACAATCAAAGGCCATGATGTTGGATGGAGTCATTCTGTATGTTTTTGCTTTATGAAGGCCATATATCTCATCTATTTTCAAATCAGAAAGCCTATTCTACTTGTACTGTTGGATCATATGATGCAGATGATAACTAACCCATCAACATGGCTTTCGTTTTCTTGTTTCTTTTTGTTTCTGAGGAGCATACTAGGCATTTTATTGTGTCTAGAATTTTGTTTTGTTCAATCGCTCTTTCATAGCCGTGTTTTTTAGAAAATCCTTCACATAACCATAACTCAATTTATTTGTGGCTAATGGATGTAAATTTGACAGGACAAAATTGAACATCTATAGATACTTTTAGCATTTCGATGAATGATTTGGTGTCCATTTGGAAATACAAAGCTTTGAACAAGTGGTCATATAAAAACCATTAAAGCAGGTCGAAAGAAGTGTCATAGTATTATAGTTTAGATGTCTTATTAAAGATTGTCCTGATGAGGATTTGCGCTGTTAGAATTTTTTTGCACATTTGATGTGGTAAACAACTGATATATACATAATTCATTTTATTTCACCAAGGTTCATTATTAATCTATATGGTATATGGAAGCAATCAGCCTGATCGGTCAAAGAGCCATTATTTTCATTATAATTGTAGCTATTAAGCCTAAATAACATTGATATTATATACGTGCACTTTCTAATCTGTTTATACATGCATGTATCTGTGATATCACTTTTTGTGGGGTGATCATTGTCTTAAGGCTTCATTTGAAACAACTTTAGCTTTTATGCTGTCGCTTTTAAATGCTCATTTCCAATCACAGTTTCAAATATGCTTTCTCAAAAAACAGTTTTTAAAGGCAATTAATAAAAAACAGTCAGAAAGCTTTCATTTTAGCAAACATTATTTTTTGTTGCTGCTTTTTCAACCACAAAAGAAGTAAAAAACCTATTCCAAATCAAGCCTCAAATTGTTATTGCCTGGTTTGTTGTGCGAGTAATAATATATAGCTGGACATTATTTCACTTGCATTCAATTTTAGCAATACATGGTTTGATCTTAAGGGTAGGGTAATACTCACTAAGACTCCTGCATTGGAAAGGATTTTAAAGAAAAGAAATGCCCTTTTATGTTTAGAACCCTTTTTATTTTCAATATTTAGTTTTTTGTTTAGAAAATATAGAAAAGGGTCTTAAAATGTAATTGAAGGAAATGCTTTGTTATATGTGTTTTTAATTGGTCTTTGGTCTAGAAAACAAGGAAGTATGTTGAGTTGTGCTCTTAGTTGTTTTTGAAACACATTGTCTGTTAAAAGATTCAGTTTGCCTTACTATTATAAATTTATCAGATGATCTTAATATTTGTTATTGTATTGTTTCAACAACCTTTTTAGTATTTATTTGCTGTAAAAGCGTAACAGGAATGAGATTAATAAATCTGACATGCCAACTTTCACTTATGTTAAAGTTTTTAAGCCTCTTTTTCTTTGTAACCTTTTTAAAGTGTTCATCAATATTTACCGATGAATCTGAGAACTTTAAATTAAAATTAAACTAATTTTTTCATTTACTTTTTCTCATCCTCAAATCTAGCTTGAGAATGATAAAGTTTTATTTGGTAAAAGAAGAAGCATACCAAATTTATATATATTAAGTTTATTTTAATATGCTATTTCCATTTTTTACATGCTTATTTTAATCGGTCAACTCCATTTTTTTACTGGTCGCAGCAGATATATCCCCAATATTTTATTTTGGTTTAAACAATGTACGAAATCAAGGAAAGTTTGTCATATTAGTAATTTAGTTTGTAGAATAGATTATAGAGGAAAAAGAATTACCATTTAATTCATATGTGATTGTTGTATGAAAATTGATATATGGTTCTTGATAAAATTCATATTTCATGTTATTTCTTCAATAGTATTAGATAAGCATGATATTTCCATTTGACTTGAAGTAAATAGTTTCTAAACTTTCTATTAGGCTAATGTTTTCTTGTCTTTCTTTATAGTATTATTTAATAGTTTTTGTTCATATGAGTTAGTAACTTAATATGGTTAGGATAATTAAAAAAAAAGCAGTCCCAATTTAGGCTCCAATCAAATTGTGTTTTGGCTAAAGGCTTTACACAACATCGCCTCCTTGCGTGCATAGAGGCTTTTTCATAATTTGAACCCTGATCTCTAGGTCATAACAAAGGCAAGGAGAAAATGTTGTTGTTAGTGTTATTAGTTAATATTTTGTATTCTACAAAAGCGGTGTGAGTTGTTGCCTATACACGTGAGCATACATAAATCCTTGTAATTTTATTTGTTAAACCAAATAACATCTAATTGACGATTAAGGCCATTCTTATTCAATTTTGAATCATAATTCTTTTAGGGTCAATATTTTATATTCATATAACATCCAATTGACAAATCAATGCCATTCTCATTCAATTTTGAACCATGATTCAATCTGGGTCAATTATTTGGTTCAATTCGAATCACATTTGAGAATTCATGTAAACCTTACTTTGGCAAAAAATGTAGGGAGGTCAAGTGTTGGTTTGAGTTTGTGCGATGTGTGAGAGAGAGTGTGTGTGTTTGTAATGAAATAAAAGATGTATTTGTTACATGTAGCTCTTGCTTATGTACGGCCTGAAAAGTAATCAATCCACACTTTTTATCTTGATATTTGTAGAGAGGTTACATCCACTACTAGAGCGTGAGACCTCCAAATTTGCTATTGTAGAAGGGGACTCAATTATGTTTAGTGGTCTTAGTTGCATTTGCTATGCGCTTATGGGCAAGCAACTCAATGTTTTGAGTATGAGATGTGAGGTCTCAATGGCATTGATCTCGGTATTTATGAAGAAGGATGAAATTATCATGTCAATGGCAAGGGGAAGACATTGGTGTGTTTTGGCAAAGGGGATAGTGGCAATTTTTGCAACTGAGAAAGTTAGTGACATATGGAGAACTTGCAAGGCATTTGTAGAAGCAAAGGTAAGCATCATGTGCCACTTATGAGGTGCCATAAGTACAAGAGGGTGACATAATGAGGCTTGAAGGCTTGCGTGTAGCTGCTAATAGAGAAAAGGAAAGACTAGGTCTTTATTTTTTGGGTGAACTTTGAAGATATGATCATTAAGGAAAATGGCTTCTTGAAGACTTTAATGTTTAAAATAGCCTGAGATCAAATATGTGGCATTAGGGTGTGTGTACGGTGGTGGATTTGAGTGGGTGAGATGGTTACTAAGAGGGAGAAAAAGGGCATACCTAGTATATGAAGCTCTCACTAATGTTTGTTCTTTAGAGGGCTTTATGTACTCAACCTTACCTCATATTTTTTTGAGAGGCTATTTCCATGATTCGACCTAGTAAAGATTTATTAAATAGATGGGAGTGAAAAATGGGTAATTGTTCTAGCTATATTAATGGTTCAACCATTCGCGAGTAGCTTAATTTTATTCAGATGAGTTTAAAGGCTTAAATGCCATTGGTCTTGGTATTTGCAAAGAACAGATGAAATTGTTATGCCAATGACAAGAGGAAACAATTATAGTGGCTTTACGAAGGGGAGGAGTGATAGTGTTTGTAATGGAGAAAGTTAGTACCTGCAGCCTAGCTTTTATGGTGCTTGTGGAGGCAAAAATAGGGCATTGTGTCATATGTGGGTACAATTTTATGACAAGGGGAAGTGTACTTATCTAGGATTACTAATGGGAGGAAAATGAAGGGTAGGGATTAGCTTTGGGTGAACAAATAATATGCCCACTTGGGCAAAAAGTTTTTTTTTATTATTTTGTTTGTAAAAATAATCATACAAAATAATTCAAAATAAGGTGCCTTACTTTATGATTTTCACAAATGATATTTTAAATAAATGAGGCAACTGTTAAAATAAATAGAGATAACATCGAAAAAACTAAAGAGTTAAGATTTTGATAAGAACGAGATGACTTTCCGCATAAATAAGAGCAAAAATAATATATTATATTCTACTAGTATCAAAACAAAACATTACACTCTCAAATACGAAAAAAGTAGGCTTAGAATTCGAGCGGTATGTTAGTCTCTCCCAAACCCTAACTCCTAAGATTTCAGACAACAATTACATATCCTAACCCTAATCATATTAAGCCCTATTTATACCAAACGATAATAACTAATAAATGACTAAATTGTTCGTTTAGCCTTATGCTTAAAACAGGTGTTCAAATTATTAGTGGGCTCGGTGTGATTTAAAGCACCATAGATGGCAATCTGACAGATTTGCAGTACAATTATTGAGTATATGATATTCAATTGTTTTTGTTTGACATTGTAATTATCAATAAGCTGTATTTTGCGATAAAATAATGTTTAGGTTTGATAGGTTTAAGTACATTGTATCTATCATACAAAAAAAATGAGAGTAGAAATGAATATAAGATTTCTATGTTTGAATCAGTTTGGCTAAGATGAAAATGTACCTCTTGAATATTATGCGATATGAGAATATCTTGGAGACTTAAATGTTGGTTTAATAAAATTTTAATTATTTTGGCGATGTGATATGGATTCTAGCAAGTGTTGGATGGTAAAAAAAAAAATCATTGATTATCAAGTTGGGTATGACAACAATAATTTTATGATAGATTTATGATAAAATGAGGAGGGAAAAAAATGATGAAGAGGAATTGTGGGAGTAGCATTTATGAAGGTAAGGTAGTAGGGACTAGCTTTTATTCTATTTGGACAAGTAAAATATAGGCTAGAAAATGCACAAATAACTAATTGCGGAGTTAATAAAATTATTATTGAAGGATCAAATGTCTTTGCAAGGTCATCTAACATTAATAAAAGTTTTGCAGAAAGGGTTCTGCTGGTTTAAAAACTCATGTATCATTATGATCTGTTTGGGCTGGTTGTAGTTTTT